AGAATGGGGCCATCCATCCTCTGGTTCCCCAGCATCAGTGCCCAGGGAAGCCCTTGAGCACCTCCATCCTGAACCTGGCCACCCTCAGGAGGAGCTGCACAGCCACTCTGCACAGCAGCTCCAGCCACAGTCCAGCCTGTCCTGATCTTTGTCATTACTGTAACTACCCCTCAATCAGATTTGTTGAATAAACAACAGCCGGGCTTCACTGCAGAGCCTGTCTCTGTTGAACAGTGTCCAAAATGGCTCATTTCCTTATTTAATCCCATTCTAAAGCCTCTGGCTGGTCTGGGAGCAGGGCAGGTCCCTGTCTCATACCAGAGCCCTTCCTAAGGCACGTGCCTGCAATGCTTGGGATGATGCTGGCCGAGCCAAGAGCTCCTGATTCCTCCTGGGAGAGACCTGGGCAGCAGCCACATCTCTTGCTCAGGAGGAAATTGTCCCTCCTTTTCTCACGGCCTTAAATCCAGGGAAAACCTATGTGCCACTGCTTCTGGAAAGGGAAGTGAAAGTGAAAGCCGTGTGTGGAGTCAGGTTTTGAGACACACATGAGGTTAAACACCTTAGGAGCATTTATATTGCTCATAAGCATTTTTAACTCCTAAGGACTTGTTGATAATTAAGAGAACAGAGACACTTTGACACCTGAGAGGGTTTTTCTCTCCCTGTCTCCCATTTTCCTACCCAATGGAGAGTAGGAACTTTCCACTGTGCAACCTCTTGTCCAGGAAATGATATTTCAGCCAAGGGGGTTTTTCCCCAGGCAAATGCAGGAGGATCATGATCCTCAATGTACTTTTCCAACTTCCCAGCACCTTCCTTGTCTCCAGTGTCACCCAGGCCACTCCCCACCTGAGCTTACTTTCAAAAGAGCAATGATTTCAAACCAAAAGTTTTCCTGGGTTTCCCTGCCCATTGCAGAAGGAGAGATAGAATGTGATGATCTCTAAGGTTCTTTCCAACCCAAACCATTCCATGAGGATTCCTCATGTATTCCAGCAACCACCCCAGGCAGGAGTTCCCCTGTTGCACAGAACACCAGCCTGACAGAGCTCAAGGAGCATTTCGATAATGCTCTCAGGCACAGGCTGTGATTGCTGGGATGTCCTGTGCAGGGCCAGGAGCTCAACTCCATGGTGCTTGTGGCCCCCTTGCAACTCTGGGTTAGAGTGGCTCTATTTCATGATGGTTCTCTTTCATGATGATTTCACTTGATAATGACTCCCCTGTGTTGTCCCTATTCCCTAAGCACATACTTAAAAGCCCTCTGCAATGCAACAATTACAGAGGGGGTGAGTTCCTTGGCACAGCTCCCAGCCAGGAAGTCAATCAGAGGGTGGGCACTGCAGTTGGCCCAGGAGCCAGAGCACAGCCCCATTCCCACCATCCCACACAGGCACAGCAGCAGCAGCAGCAGTGGGACAGGCACTTTGCTCCACTGCCTGTTGTCACACTGGCTCCAGTTGTCGTGGCTCTCCTCATTCCAGCTCCCCTGGGATGCCTTCCCACCAGGCTGGCTCCAGCAGGCAGGGCTGGCTCCCTCCGT